TAATTACGTGTTTTTCACGGTGGTTTATTACGGTACTAATGGACAGACAAAAATGCTTCTGAACTAATCAAAACGCGCCAATTTACCGGGAGTAACGCTTGCCATATAATTCAGCCTAGAAGAATCTAATGTCGTAAAAGACATTCCACATCATTTCAACTTAAGGACATCAGCTCTTTATTGCGGTAGCTGTTAATCCGAATTATGAAGTAACTTGTTTATTATCCAATGCTTCTAAATCTGAATCGTCTAAGTTTTGAGACGTTTTCTTTATCAAATACTTCTTATAATCTTATCACATGGACATGCATATATATGCTGACAAACAAAGATAATTTTGGCTGATTTGACTTGTCAGTAAGTACATGCACGTATGCTGAATAACGGTTCCAGAATAGAGCATGCATGCTAATTTTTACTTTGCTTAGATATATCTTGTTCATAAACTTTTTGTATCGAGAACTTAAAAATTACAAATAAAAGCCTCTTTCATTTTTCTGTCACGTACAAATAATTAAACGTCATTATGACTAGAATGCACCTGTTTTAGAATATCTATAACAAATTGTATTTCTTCATTTGGCAGTTAATTAAAAACAAGTATTTTAAGAACTTATAGTTTTGATAACACAAAATTTTGCGTCTCATCATTTCTGTTATTTTTAACTTTTTGCTGTTGCGCTACTGAAAGTAGATGCTTTTTAAACATTCAATGACTCTTATGAAAGAGGGATCTTGGATTAGTCGGATACGCTACTGAACTTAAATTCGACATACGCAATATCATGCAAAATGAAAGACTGAGTATATCTTTTGGTATGCAAAAACTACTGGCTTTCAGTTGAAGACAAATGATAAGCATTTTACGAATACCTCTTCCAATTATCAACTACACATTTGACATTTTGAATTTTACTATTTTTTGTGCAAAAAGAAAATCAGAGCGTAATGATTACCGATTTTCCAGACTTAACTATTGATAACATGACTAAACTATAATTCTGACTGTAGATATTTTTGTGATAAAGGTTGAAAATGGCAAACTTTGTGTACAAGGCGCTCAAGAAGACTATATCGAATCGAACTGGAAGCAATGCACATGGAAGAAAGAACTTAACATGAATTATGGTCTTATAAAGGTACTTATTACGAATGTCTGATTTATAAAGGTATACTACCTATAAAGGTTAAATTTACAAGCAAAAAGCAAATTTTCATTATTAATTTGACGGCCCAAAACGTAACTTTTGGTTCTGAACTTAAATGCAATTGTAACTATAATTTCAAGTATGTGTACAAAAAACGCTGATGTATATAGCAAATTTAGGTTTATAAATTTGTCGATTTGGATGCTAGAATTTGAATTCATAGCAAAACGTCAAGCTAAATAATGTTTTGTGGAAAAAAGTAATTGAAATAATGTAAATTGCAATGACAGATCATTTGCATCAAGCTTGGTTAACACTGTTGAAGTGAATATTATTAGCACAACCAAAGGCATGTGACATAAGCATTGATATTAGCACAAGCACGCATGTGACATAAGCATTGATATAAATGCAAGCATAAGAAAAAAGGCTGTAGCACAAGGTTAAAGAAGAAGAAAGAACACGACGTTTTGTTTTAGAAAATTTTTTCACGAACTTACTTTTTTTAACAGCCTGTATACTGCAAATTTCTAAGAGTTTCGTCGCAAGCTTGGTAATTGGAGGAGGGGGTGTCTCATAACTACACGTATATGCATTATATGCCGAGTTAATGAAATCCTTTAAAACAATTGTTTACAGGTTATGACGTATACAAATATGATTCCCACAATCATAGAGCTTGCTACCTGTGTAAGGCATTCATCATATTAGATGTAAGGATGCATTGGAAAATGTTTTTATATTCTGCTTGTTTTGTTTTTCTAGTCTTGTAGTTTTTTTAAAAAATGTAACAACACGTACCTTCGTGTGTTCTATGGTGGTAATCTCCGTATTTCTGACTGTGACTATTGTTGCAAACGATGGTATTTTAAATTGAATGGAAAAGAATGTAGTCCAACAATTGAAGGTGTCCTCTACATGTGGAAAGGTAAAGGAACACAAAATATTCATCGTCATCGTCATATAGAGGGATATTGTGGCAACATTAACAATGGTACAGTTAATGTTGGCTTCTATGTCGGCGATTGCAATAAAGTAAACGCTGGTTATGCAAACAGTGGATGGAATTCAGTCTCTCGAATTGTGATCCAAGAAGTTTCACCACCTCAGACTTAAGTCTGAACATTCTGAAGTCCTTACATCTTGTAAATTTATATTGATATTGCATAAAAAATGAAGGTATACATAAAGAAAGACATAAAGTAAGACATAAATGTAGATATATCACGGTAGATAAACATGAAGAAAGACACAATGATTGACATAAAGATAAATAAAGGTAGACATCAAGTAGATATAATTATAAACATTGTGACATAAAGGAGATGGGTAGAAATTGTGTGAAATAGTTACAAATATTAGAAAGAATTCGTATTTAAGAAATTTTTTTAAACAATCTACTTGATTGAAAAGCAAAATACAACACATAGAATACAGTGGTCTTTATGGTAAAAATATTATAAATGGTGTGCACGTTGTTTGAAAAATTCAAAATGGGATGTTGTGATTAAGAATAAGGTTATACGTGAAGAAAATAGTAACGAAAAATGTTATCACTTAAACAGGAAAAATGTTAATATTTGTCAAAGTTTAAGTAATGTGTTAATATCAGTGTTAGTGTTCGTCATAGTGCCGGTGTTTTCTTAGTGTTGATGTTGGTCTTCGTGTAAGAGTTACTGTTTTTTTACTATTTTCGTTTAGTCTTACTATTTTAGTTTTGTAATTTTTTAAAATATGTTTTAAGTTTTATTTATATGTATTTATACAGCTATTTCGTTGATGACAGTGTTCTGTACTGAAGAAAAATACTGTATAAATATTATATAATTATAATAATAATAATAGTCGTGATGTGTTGACACCCATAATGTTTGTGTTAGTTAATGCTAGTATTCGTTTCACTATTCGCATTAGAAAACTGGTGGAAAATAGGGAAAAACAGAAAGGAAAAATGGGTGGAGAGAGAAAGGAGAACATGAGATGGAGGATGCTTGATAATAGAAGAAGGAAGAGAAAAGAGAAAGGAGAGAGGAGAGAGAACAATAGAAAGGAGAGAAGAAGGAGAGAGAGAAAGGAGAGATGGAGAGAGAGAAAGGAGAGAAGGGAGAGAGAGAAAGGAGAGAAGAGGAGAGAGAGAAAGGAGAGAAGAGGAGAGAGAGAAAGGAGAGAAGGAGAGAGAAAAAGGAGAGAAGAGGGAGAGAGAAAAGGGAGGAAGAGGGAGAAGAGAAAATAGAGAGAAGGGGGAAGAGAGAGAGGAGAGAAGAAGGAGAAGAGAAAAGAGAGAGAAGGGAGAGAGAGGAAAGGAGGAGAAACAATTTTATTTTACCTTTTTCTCATCTCCTTCTACGGATTACCATTTATTATCCCTCGTCTCTTCCTTCACCCTCTTTCCTTTTACACCTGCACATCCTCCACCTCCTTATACACCTGCACATCCTCCACCTCTTTAAACACCTTCACATCCTCCACCTCCTCATATACCTTCATATCGTCCACAAGCAATTGTACTGAGCTCTCTCAGTGTACCCCCTACATTGTACTGACATTACTTAGTCCTCCTCCTTCTACTTAACACTGACCAACCACTCCATCCCGAACGTAAATAACTTTGTGTTATCTCTTATCATGCAGAGGTTTTCAGTTCATTAACAACTGGAATTCTGTTGTGCATCTTTTCCTGGAACTTATTCTATATAGCTTCGGTGACTCATTCAGTCTATGGTGAAAACAAATGTGAATAGCCAATGTAAATAGTTTATAATATTGGTCATAAATTAAGAAGTTTAGCAAATTCTCAAGTTTTTGATACTTTTTACTAATTATTACAGGAATTTGCATCACAATCCATCCACTTTGCATCACAACAAATCCAATGAATCTATGACATTGCTCAAAAACCACTTACCGCCTTTGACAACGAATTTGACATTGACCTAGTAATTATTGTTCTGTATCACACAGCTGGACTGCTAGCTATCGACAGTGGCTTCAAGCAAAAACTATCAACAATGACAATGTTTAGGAAAGGAGTTCTCGATAACAACATTGGCATACGTAATTAGCATGAGCTTTGCTCTTCATAGTGAGGTCAAATCAATAGGGGACCCTATTTTTTTGTCTGAAAACTTAATGATATTATATATCAGACATAATTCCAATGATCATTTACAAATATTTAACAAAATACCAATATGATTTGATGAAAAGTAACGACAAAACTACGACGTTAGTATTGTAAGAAAACACGAAATTTTGACGTACGTAAACTTATTCGAACATAAATTGAAGTCTAAGCGTTTTGCATGATTTCTTAAGCATCAGAACGACTCTCAGTTAAGTTGTAATTAAATCTGCTTAAGTTATTTAAATTTATAAAGATATCTTCCATAGGGACAATATAGCTGTATAAAGGTTATAAATTTTAGAATAGGAAATAAAATAGGATTTACTTAAACATGTACAATATTTTATTTTAATTATGTCTATAGCCACGATAAAAATAGCCACGGCATGGGTTCCATCTAAATTTCTTCCTCTTTTAGCGAATTGATATCTCGCTTATGTCAATTCTCTTTCAATCAAAAAACGTGATTGATTGTTACTTTATAACGTATTTCTTCATTGCAATAAAATACACACTGTCGTTTTTTTAAAAAAATTATATTTGAAAAAATCTATTCTATGAAACGCTTTAAATGTATATGATGACATCTGAAAATAGAAAGTGATATTCACTACAGCTGGTGATGTTGACAAATTTATGAGGTGCTTTGCGTCATTTGCCAAAATGAAGACAAAAACAGGATCGTATATCACTTTAAATTCTCGGTCAAGTTCATTTTCTTTAGTCATATTGGTTTCTACATTACAAGATCATGAGGACCTTTGCTCTCTTAGCGATTTTTGTTTGCGTTTTTCTCGATGGAAATGTCATATCTCAAGTATATGCAACTTCTGAACCATTCACTGAATCAACATCAAAAATGATCGAGGTAAAAAAATGAAAAAATTCATTTATGACATATAACACGACATCAACAATAATTTACTTTCAGCTACTGTCATCATAAAACATAAAATGTTTTTTGTATACCATTTATATCAAAATTCTTATTTTGATAGCATTGACTCGTGCATGTACTGCGCTCTAAGTGTTTGTTATAGGCTGTTACCTATAAATATTCATATATATAAATCTACTCATGGCAAATGTTCAAGAAAAGGTTATCAAACTGCTCATCCTTCTATTCAAAAAGGATTTCTTATCAAAACGATTGTATTTCAATCAGCGACAACATTTTGCTTGCCTAAGATGAGAGCAAGACTAATCCAGATGTTTTTATTTATACACATTTCCCAAATCGTTTTTGTCATAGTATTATTTATGTCTGAATAGCGTGTACCCTAATGACTTATGTTTACTGAAGTTGTGTTTTCACACAGTATTATATGAGCGTGATCTCAATATGCTTTGCAAAGGTGTGTAGACCTCGTTAGATAGCTAACATTTCTAAATAGTCAATGTTGTTTGTAGACTCGGATTTTTCCATGCACCACTTGTGAATATTCCTTGATTCCATGCCTCCCACCCTGAGAGGAAAGCATAAGTAGTAATTGTGTACTGGTGTTTCTCCCTGAAAATTTCTGAAATAAATTTTCAGCATTAAAAACCTTCCAGTGTAATTCTGTTCGTGCACCCCGTGCTATTTTCATATTGGTATCACAATTACCTTTCGCATCCTTCAAGACTTTAGTTTTATCGTTTTTTAACTCTGTGTTCATATTGCATAAAAGTAATTAAAGTGAAAAATAGGTAATCTATGTTGCTGTATGTGAAAAACATTAATGCTAAACATATAATTATATTTATATATATTAGAAAACGTGCAGCCCTAACATGAAATGTGGCTTCTGGAATTCGAAGTGCCGCCAAAGATTACTTAAGCTATACATACAAAAGAAAACACTCGAAGCACAACTAGCAAAAACACAAAACATGTTAAAAACTATTGAAAAACATTTGACAAGGCTTTCAAAAAAATGTCAAAAACTAACAGGAATAAAACAAAGCTCAAAGGAGATACAAGAGAAGGACTGTGCAGATCTTTACAAAAAAGGTGAAAAAAAGAACGGAGTTTATCAAATTGATCATGATGGTCAGGGTTACTTTAAGGTTTTCTGTGATATGACGTCATCTGGTGGAGGTTGGACTGTGTTTCAACGTCGTCAAGATGGAAGTGTAAACTTCTATCGTGGTTGGAAAGACTATAAACAAGGTTTTGGTGATCTGAAAGGCGAGTTCTGGCTTGGATTGGAGAAAATATACCGACTAACATCAGCAAGGCGAAATAAACTTCGTGTTGATCTTGGAGACATGTCAGGAAAGAAAACATATGCTGAATATGATTATTTTGCTGTAAAGAACGAAAATGAAAAATATCAATTGAGTCTTGCAAAATATTCTGATAAGTCAATAGGCAAATACAAACAATTAAAGCACAAAATTCTAAAGGTTAATATGATAAAAATTATATCATCATTAAGTTAAAATGCCTTGGATGCTTGGAGTTTGCATAAACTGATTCACCTTTTTTGGTAAATATTTGTCATAAGAACAATATATTGTTTAAACTTATAAAATACAACAAACAACCCCATTGGTAAATCAAAATTATTTTGTCGTGTGTATACAGTTTTGAAAATACCAGTAGAACAACTAAATTACAAACTGCAACAACTACTTCTGGACAGGCAATACTAGAGACATTCAAGGATAAAGACTAGTTTACTCATTAAAATAAATTACAAATTCAGCTTCAGCTTTGTGTACAGCAAATTATGAGCAAGGGCTGAACAGATTTATATATAAAACACAGGTGAATTTGGTATATTAGTTTGAATATTTCTCTACATAATCAAAGAACTAAATGATGAGAAACATGTTAGTGCAAAAAGAATATCTTTATTGTAAATATCTTTTTCAATTGTCCATTGAATAAACCTTAATATTATACACAAGCATTCAAGTAAGACTGTAGTAGCAAAATGTAATGCGTTATAAAAGACTTTTTTGTAAAGTGTGTGTTCTCTTGAATACAATTATCACCATTTAGGAACTGCTGGGGACTTGTTATCCGCCCATAAAACAAGTCGTTTACGACAAAGATTCAGATAACGATACAGATGTTGGAGGAAACTGCGCTGTAAATGCTAAAGGGGCTTGGTGGTATTATTATTGTTATGTTTCCAACCTAAATGGATATTATTATCATGGCAATTATCAACCTTCTGCATCTTGGTACAAAGGTGTTGTTTGGAAAGACTGGAAAGGATTTTCTTATTCATTAAAGCTCACTGAAATGAAAATGAAACCATCAGGAAATTTTTAATAAAGTGATGATTTCATGACGATAATGAATATATCTGTAGTGAACATTATGTATTTTGTCGTAGAATTTGTTGCTTATAGTCTTTACAATAAAATAAATCTCTACAGTCTTTATTCGTGTTGATTGATTTGCAGATGGATTTTTATTTGAACTAGGTATAGTATTTACTGAAACCGTATCGCAAAAAAGCAACCCAACTTCAGCTCGCTCTTGTGCATAACTAAAATTACTAAGTAAGTTTCCGTGATTTTTTACCATAGTGAAAGATCAGTATCTGAGCTTTCAAATGTTGCGTGTTTGTATCAAAATATAAATTTCCTTTTTATCCCCTTGAAGACGAAAAGCAGCTGCAGCAGTCTATGATTTCTTACATTTTGACTTATATCCGTTTTAGTGTTTTAAAATGCTTCATATCTCTTTGATGAATTTTTTACTGTGTTGAGAATAGTTCGCAAACTTGTTGTTGAGCTTTAAGCAATGTAGCTATGTAGACTAAAAAGTAGGTTGCTAGCGGTAACTCGTTGGCAACTCATTGGTATATTATTGGTAACTTGTTGAGATATTGGTAACACGTGGGTATGTTTTAAGTAACTCATTGTTTAGTTATTGGTAATTAAGACGTTTTTAGGTTGAAGATAGCTTGATAAAATTGAACGTAGTTGAAGCATCTAGCGTACAATCGAGAATTTGGGATGATGACTCGTGGACCAATGAAAATACGAATGATTCCAACCAGAGGCGTAACTAGTACGTTAATTGGGGGTGGGGTGGGGTATTTATTAATATATTCAGTTTTGCTCTATCGACTTCTTTTGAAATCCAAATCACTTTCATAAGAAGTCAGGAGGGCACAGCGGAATATATGAATATGCACCCCACCAATTAACGTTCTAGTTACGCCACTGACTCCAACCATGTTGAAGACGAAAAAAACTCTATAGCTCTGGCGAAGAGGAGGCTCCAATACCAAAACAATCGAGTAACAACACCGAGTCTTCTGGAGATATTCTTCAAAAGAAATATCGATGAATCATACTTACACTTTCAAAGGTCGTTGGCTCACGTGGTATATAGTAGTGGGATTTGTTCATTATCTTGCTAAAGACATGAGAAAATACATACCAGTGTCTTTGCTTTAGGACGAGGAATCTGATTTCGAAAGTGAAGAGGAAGCAATCACCACAAGAGATTTGCAATAAGATTCAAAGTGTTCTCTGCAAAATTTGTATATACGGATGGAGTGTTATGAGAAGAGTACTATAAGTAATATCATTGACGAGGAATTGTACAAGGACCAACAGAGAATTTGGCAGCTTCGCCCTGAAATCGTAAAAGATATTAGTTCACTTTCATTCACAGGTAGAAACTTTCTATTATTGTATGTCCTACCATAGGCGGCCCAGAAATCTGTTTACTTTTTTTATACAATCGATTTATGTAGTAAGTATATTTCTTGATTTATATGCAATGTTTGTTACGTGGACTATCTCGCGTGAGTTACACGTTTATATGGTCTTAAAGGTCTTATATTTTGACAAGGTAGGCAACTCTCAATACAAATTAACGACCGTTAACAGAAACACTTTCACAAAACCATAAATATCTTATAAGTACGTGGAAGACCACGAAAAAATACATCTCATTTGTCATGAATAATTTTACTGCATTTTGCAGTTTTTTTACATTAAAATGTATTTCCATGCATATGAAAATGCGATTGTTTTTAGGTTTTGTGCCAAATATTTCTCAAAACCTATGCTAGGACACTTATCTAAATATTCGTCATATTTTTGAACGCTCAAACGCAATGCAGATTGGCTAAAATTGTTTTCTCATTCATTCAGATTGGATAAAATTTTTTTTGATTGTTTTCACAAAAATTAAGCGCCAGCCCTCCTCCCCCCGCGCTCAACGTTATTGAAGGTGTTTGTCGGAAATTTGGAGACCTGAGGGAATTTTTGAAGTGAAATGGCAAAGTGATGAAAGTGATTATTTATTCAATTGTACAACAAAAATAAAATATATTTGGACTTTAAATCCATTCTCACCAATAAAATTAATAGCTATAGATTGTGTGCCATTTGTAAAAGTTTTTTTTATCTAATTCTTTGCAGTAATTTATAAGTAGGTAGCAAATTGTAAAAGATATTCACGTGTTAAGTTCAGTGTCCGTCAAATTTCCTTATTCTCCAAATGTCACTAATCATTTCCGATAAAAAACAGATAAGCAGTACTATGACAGAAAAGCGCCATTCGAATCTCGCATGTATTTCCATCAACCGCGAGAAATTATTTCAAAAATTTCGATTCCACAACTTCCAATGCCTTTCTTGAACGAGGAAACTAAAAGAATTTTTTAATAATTATTTGTTATTTCACGTTTGTTGCACTTGGTTTATTTAAAATGGTATATCCTTATGTATATTCATTTGTACACAGTTTTTAAACCCCATTTTTGAAAAATACATTTCTTTTAGCCACGCCCAAATTGCCACGCCCCGTTGTAGGAAAATTTATCTATCTGCAACGTCTAATGTAATTGTTAGCTACGCCACTGGTTGCAGTACATTTTTTGCTATCACTAATAATTTGTAATATTACAATTACTAATAAGCGATGATAATTTAATTACTGTAAGCAATGCACATTTCAAGTAAATGGTTTGAACCCGGGAGTATCGTTACAAGTTTGTAAATGTAGATCGTCCAGGTTGGTATAGTCTTGAGAAGGATTGTTTTTGTTGTTGTTGACTGACGTTTCGACAACCTTAGCGGTAGTCATTTTCAGAGTCAAAAGCACATTTCATTACCATGTTAATCGTTTTCTAGAAGTCCTTTGGCTCTGCGTTTTCACGATTAGTTTTGTTGGATATGATTTTGTGATGTTGACGGATGAAGTTTACACGTCACTTCATAACAGGAAATGGTCGACCGCCTTCTGTGCACGAATGAATAAGTATCACATGGCTAAAGCTTTGTTTACGTTGAATCATGTCATTTGTTGCATGTACTTTGTGCAAAGTTCTTGCAATTTTACACCTCATTTTACCAAACGACCTCATGATCGACCTTCAACGACCGTAGAATCAGTGATTGTTGTCATTTCCTGAGTAAATTCGACACATTTCTCAAGCCATCACTAAAATGACTGCGTTGTTGCTTGGCTGGTTTCGACCATGCTTCGCTACAAAGTTCTGCGTAGTTTGAAAAATTATTTTCTTACTGGAAAAATGGTTGACGCTAAGATCAAAGATTTCGGCTATAATTTATGTCGAAAATATCTCGGTGGGGAATGGAAGAAAATCAGTCCACAACATTTTGAAATTGAACGAATTCAGTAAGTACAATTTTCGAATACGTAACTGTAAGAACTATATTGTTTAGATGCGGCGGCATTTATTTAATGGTAAAAATGTTCTCAATGATATTTAAGGTGAAAATATTCTCTATATCTCTATTGCCAACATTTTAAAGAGTACTGGGCTGTTTGTGTTTGCTGCCACACTAAATTTCTTCTCAAGATTTATATGTTTCCATGCGATATGCAAGATTTTCTGTAGTTTAGCAAGGCTGCAGATTGCAAAGTGTGATGGATTTCTAAAAGATATCTTCGGTCACACCTAAAGTCCAGGTTCATCTTAATATGTAGAAATTTCTCCAGCAATTATGCCAGCCAAATAAACACAGAATTCTGCAATTGCAGAATTCTCTGGTGTCTGTCCATGAAAGTGATGAAATTTCTCAAGTGCAGCTAATTTTTTTGTAATTTCCAACTTCCATGTCTCATATTTGTTATGTCTGATATTTTCTTGTTCAAAGTTGTTTTAGTTTTGTTGAGGGGTGGAGGCAGATTACATGCGTGAAATAAAATAAGCATCCTTGTTTTATATGCAAAGTACCTTCATAATAGTGCCTTTGATTTATAAATTAATTTCGGAAAGAAAAAATCTTGTAAGATATGATTAATCTAAGAATGGGCTTATTTTGTATATTTATCTAACCAATGCTCTGATCTTACCTCTATGCTTGTCTATCTTGTTCTTTTGTTGATAAACTTACCTCTCAGAAGAGATGAAATCATAGTTTGAGTGATTATTTTAACCAATACGCTTTTACAATTACAGTGGTGGATTAACAAATCATTTGTTTCTGTGCTCTCTGCCACAGGAATATGCAAATTCAAATCCTGATGGTGTGAACAAAGCACTGCTTCGGCTATATGGTGCATTCTATGCAGATTTGTCT